CCTGAAGGCTTTTTTTGTTATACAGATTTTATAGTACAAGCTAATACTCACCGAAACATAGATTCTCCCAAAGAGGAAAGATACTCCAGAAAAATTTCTTCTGTGACTTCAGTGTTCCCCAGGTCAACAACTGAGTCCGGGGGGCCAAGAAGTGTCCCTCCCTGTAAAAAATATCAGCCAGAAGACAATGTTAAATGGACAGATAGAATTCTTTTGGAGGACTCGACTGATTAGAGCTATTGTGGTTTGCTCAGGCACAAAAGGAGGAACTTTGGGTATATTTGTCAAGCAAAAAACCCTACTGGCTTCTCCTGTTCTGCACTCAGAGAATGAGAAGTAATGTGCAACTTCTATTTCAGCTTGTATACTTGTCTCTTTGTGCTGAAGGCTCTAAGCTATGGCAACATTCTGCTTTAGAAGAATGGCACATCAGTTTTGCCTCTCCAAGAACAGAAAGGTCTGACAAAGCATCATGATTTTTATTTCTTTTTAATCTCAAAAAAGGATGCCTTGAGTTGCCACGTCTGCATGTAAAATCTACCGATACAGAATCAGACAAGGAGTCACTCTGGTAATGCAGCTGCAGAAGATGTCTTGGACAGACAGACTCTACCAGCAGAAGCAATCCCCAACCTTTATTTAGTTGGGCTTAAAGCCACAATGCTTCCTCTTCCTCAGATGCCCTGGGCAACCATAGCAAGCAGCCACATCTGGCTGAATTCATAAGCCTCTTGCTGCTTTTCTACAAGACAGTGACACAAGCAATTCTGATCAGGTAATCCTATCACAAATTTCTCTTATCAGAAAAGTAAATTTAACTTACAGGTGCACAGCTGGAGATTCCTCCACTGCCATAGAAGAACTCATCCTTATGGACTATTATGGAGGTGTGCCTGCCACAGAAAACAAAACACAGGTGAAAAAAGAAATATTTAACCTAGCATATACATCGCTGGTAAATTTATGTGTTCAAGGACATAATTAAGTGAATAACTGAAATAAAAGGTCAATGTGTTTCTGTGAGTAGGAACAGGATCTGCAGGGACGTGAATGGATATGGAAGCAATGATTATCAAGCCTACTGTAACTCTCTAAGCAGTTGGGAAAGAACAGGCTTAGTAAGGTACCCAAGAATAAAGGAACAAAGGCAGAGAAGGACTTCCACACCAGCATGAGATCTCCAGCAGCCTCTTTCAGCTAAAGGGTTGAGGGTGAAGTCACAGAGATAAGAGAGAGACAGAGCTAGCCCTGCTGCAACACTGACAGAAGCGTGCATCTGATAGACACCGACTGAGAAGAAGGTCAGACAATCACTGGAGAGGGACCACAGAATCATAGAATACCGGGTTGGCAGGGACCTCAAGGATCAGTTGGTCCAATCTTTCTTGGCAAAAAAACCCACAACACTCCATTGGCAGACATAAATAAATAAAAAAAAAGGATGGACAAGGGTTTGGGTTTTTTTTGTTTCCTTTTTTAAAAAAAAAACACAAAACAAAACTGTTGATATGAATTATAGCAAGTTGAAGAGTGTTTTGTAACCAAATGTAGCCTGTGCTCTTACATGCCAGAAGGCCTGATTCTGTAATACCTTCTTCCCACCTACTCTTTTACTCTCACGTTTAGTCATGCCTGTAATTAGAAGACAAAGTGCTTGGGACAAAGACAACATCCTGCCCTTGATACAAGTGCACTAAAATGCAACAACTACTACCAAGACTTTTTTTTCCATGGAGTCCACTGAGCTTTGAATGGAGATGTTTAACCAGCATCTGACTGTACACCGTCTTACTGTCAATCTCTATCCAGGAACAAAAAGTGCCTTGGTCTCTCTTCAGCACCAAAATGTTAAGAGCTGAAGCATATATAATCTCACATGGAAAATACTTCCTACACCACACAGTGTTTAACACACATTATGCAATTTAAATCTAGTCACTCACCAGATGCCATCCAGCTGTTTCCCTGTATGCAAAGAAAAGAAAAGTTATTAGCAACATATTCTCCAGATTTCAGCCTCCTTTCCATCAATCACTTAGGAACTACGCTTATTATTTCACCATGACAGTAATACCAAAGATTTCATCCCAGAGTTGCTTCTAAAGAAACAGAATGCCTTTCTTTCAAATTAAATACTCCATCTACACCACTGCAGTACTTTTCTCCTCCTGCACAGGTGGCAACGCCATCCTATCCTGCCAGTGCTTACCTTCCCTGGGGCTTTTGTCTACAGGCCAAGAAAATAAACTTTTTCCTAACTTTAGAGTCTTCAGTCAGGACCAGAAGAACAGAATTTTACACTGATTTCATAACAGCAGGCAGTTACCCAGCACAGAGTATTCAGTTTTCTTTTTCAGTAAGCGATGAGAGATCTGACTTGAACGTATGAACGATAGTCTCTATAATTTATTCCATTGTTTCTCCCTTTCCGTCCTTCCTCCTGCCCTTAAAAATTAACAGTTTAAGTGGGAGTTTTTTTTGGGGGGGAGGGGAGGGAAGTGCAGGGCTGAAATTTATACAAGTTATAAAATTGTGTGTATTGTCTAACACAGTAGCAAAGACTTGCTTCAGGCACCACTAAACGGATATCATCATTGTGTCTTAGAGAAAAAGTCCCTTCTGAAATGTTCTTCCAGTTCCCTAGAAGTGGGAAACCTAAACATCTCTATATTCGTGGTAGGATCTCAAGATCAAACCTCTCTTCAAAGGGTCACCAGCTGTTCTAGACTCAATTATTTTATCTGTCATAACCTACAGGCTTGGTCCCTAGTATCACACCCCTTCGTAAACTCGTAGGCAGCGACAGCACGCTATGACAGACGTGCTATAGCTTTATTTTGCCAAACAAGGTGCACAATACCCAGAAAAGTGGATTTAGAACAGAAAAACTGTGCGTGTACCAACATGTGGTATTTTCCTGAAGCCAAGCAGCAGACCGAGTGCTCCTCTGCCACAGCTTCTGCTTGCTTGCAGCAGGCTCCTGATCCTTTCAGACAGCCTCTGCCCCAGCAGACCGCTTCCCACCCCACTATCCTTTATATCCAAGCAGCACCTCTTCCAAAGTGTTTTGTTGTTATTGCTCAACTTTTAGATATCAGAATATGATGTCACGATGTGCTAAAGTCATTGACTGCTTTCCCAGAGCTATACACTGTAGATATGATAAAAAAGAACACAAGAAGCGCCGCTCTAGCAAAGATTTGTTCAGAAAGCACTGATGGGTTAACTTTCGGCCAACAGGCTTTGCTCTGGTTTGGACACCATCTGTTTGCATCACACCAGCCTCAGGCCTCCCAAAGCTAGCCACAGACCTTCTTGCTTCCTGAATTCTGTCCAGATATTCTCCTCCTCCTTTAAATGCAGCCTCAGAGCTGTGGTCTTCTATTAATGTTTTATTCAAATACTTGTGACATTCAGGCTTTTTTTAGCTATCTTGCCACTGCCTTAACTGACCTTAACTCAGGATTTGGCTGCATCCCCCATCACACTGCCAGCCTTGCCTCTCCCCAGCAACTATTCCACTACCCACCCTGCTTGTATTCCCATAGCTTATGATGCTGAGAGTGCACTGCAACTGCTTTTTTAAGGCTGGAATCAGATGCTCAGAATAACAATAAATTACTCCACTCATTAAAAAAAGTTTGGTGAAAATGAAGCTCGGCTCAGTTGCATTCCTTTGCTCACCCCCCACAATTCCCCAAAAGGAGGCAGAACGTTACATACTGGGACCCAGTTAGTGTAACAGGGGCCAAAAGCTAAATGCTAGTTTGACAGAGCAGTATTTCATCCTTCAGCCTCCATGATGTTTGCTTCTCTGCTGAAACTTTAGGGGTCACTCTTCTGTTGGTGTCCAGCCTCTTCTAAGATCTCTGGTGTAGTAGCAATGATGGGGTACATTGTCCCAGTTCCACTTGTCCCATGGAAAGACATTCTCCGATGTCCTTACTTAGATCAGTGCCACAGCAACAATGGCATACAGGGAGGCAGAGGCATTGCCTTTCCCTTTCTACAGGCAGAGGGTCTTGTGTATTTTCACCTGCACACAGGTACAGGTGAAAATATACTCTTCTGTCAGAGCTGCTTTGGTCTGTGAGTGCCAGGAGTGAATATGCTACTTCAAAGCTGTGGTATTTCTTCATGAGTTCTTGGGCAAAATCAACCTTCTGTCGTCAGGACTGGGTAAAACAGAGGAATAAAACTGACGAGGATAATCCTTCAAGAGTTCTGAGAAAAGGATGCTCACATGTCAAAGTAAGGAATAAACAATCACTATCATGTATTTTTTTTGCACTCAGGTCTGAAGCAAAATAAGCACAGAGATAGATATCTGCTTCAGATGAGGGTCGTATAAGAGTGGAGGCAGCGAAAAGGCTGTTGCAACAATAGACACATCGATCAAAGTGAGCACACGCAGTTTGAAGTAGGTGGACTGATCCGTCACTACCACAGACCGCAGCCAGGCAGCAAGCATATTCCCTGCCAACCTGCTGCACAGAAACATAGGCATGGAGTAGGATGAAGCCAAAAGAGAGTAGCAATGATGAGAGAAGCAGAGCAGTGTGTTGCAACTTCCAGGAGCATTTGCTGCCTCTTTAGGTTTGTGCCACGCTGTTGTGCTCCTTGATCCTCTGGTCCTTGTTCCACACCTTCGCCATCAGAGCTTGCATCTTGCACTGTAGAGCTGCTAGAAACCAGTGACACTGCAGGCTCATCAGCAACATGTGAGGCAGGGCAGAGTGCACTGCCCTGACTTTAGCAGCTGGCCTACGACAGGTTCTACCGCTTGGCTTTGCATAGTTTGTGTTCTGCATATCTGTTAATAAATTATTACACATGCATTCACAATAAATCACTGTTTTCCACTAGAAACTTGAACTTTATCCTTCAGGGCAGAGAAACAGTTTCAAAGGCAGCACATACTAGAATTGTATCTGTCCTTTTGCATGCTAAATGGAAAAAATAATATCTTCATATTTACTTGCACACACGTTTCCAGCAAACAATGATGAAAGGTTTTCCACAGAGTTGCCACTTTGCACCTATGTTCTGTGTCCAGGTTAAAAATTCATAGCAGATACTGACAGTGTCACAGGTGCTGCCAGGAACCTGCTTGTGCAATTACAACACCAACTTGAAAAGATCACTGCAGCAAAGACTACCACACATTGGGTTGCTCTAGCAAGACTGCAGCCAGCAGCTCAAGGGAAGTGACTCCTTCCCCCTATTCAATGCTTGTGACACCACATCTGGAGCGTCATGTTCACTTTTGGACCCCCCCAGTACAAAAGGCACTGACATACTGGGCTGGAGCACTTGTTATACTGAAGAACAGCTGAGAGAACTGGTCTGTTCAGCCTCAAGAAGAGAAGGCCAAGAGTCCTTATTGCTGTCTACAACTACGTGATGGGTATGGAGGAAAGGGAGCCTTGTTCTACTCAGAGGTGCACAGCAAAAGGAGCTACTTGGAAAACAGGAAATTCTCAACTCAGTAGAGGACAAAAAAACTGCCATGAAGGTGGTCAAACACTGGGGCACCTTGTTCTACTCAGAGGTGCACAGCAAAAGGCAAGAGGAGCTACTTGGAAAACAGGAAATTCCCAACTCAGTAAGAGGACAAAAAAACTACCATGAAGGTGGTCAAACACTGGGGCGGGGGTCCAGAAAGCACGTGGGATTCCCATCCTTGGAGATACTCAGAACTCAGCTGCTCCAGGCCCTGAAGAATCTGCTCTCGGCAGATCTACCTTGGACAGGACCTCCAGAGGTCCTTTTACACCAACGCAATTCTCTGATTGTATGAACAAAGCCCAAACAGAATTCAGGAAATGGACTCTGCATTAGACTGCAGCCCAACCTTGGGGGACTCCTCTCTGGCTGCTACACACATAATCCATAGCCAACAACAGGCAGCAACTGCCAGGGCAATAACAGAACAGCTCTTGGCAAGCGAAGCTGCCTATCTTCACGAGGCAGGTCTGTCTGAGGCTGCTCAGCGAGGTCAGTCTGTGCCAAGCACAGGTTTGATGATCTCAATGGAGCTGCTGACCCGCTACTTTTGCTTGGCTCCTGTAAGACATTAACCAGGCTGGCATTGTGGAAAACACATGTCAGATCTGCAGCACTGACAACAATAAGGCATCTGCGGTAGCTCTCCAGCCTGCTGCAGATAAAATAAAATCCCTTTACGCCACCAGGGGACTGTGCTTGCTCAGAGGCAGTACAAGCCTCTCCAATAACACCACCACTGGGGAATCCCACATCTAAGAAACCTGACGTTATCGGCCACATACACATCACCCAGAGACAACGGAGACCAAGAATTTTTGGTATGCTGCTGCAGTTTCCCATGCTGCACAGCTGGCTGCTGTCATCTCAATCCCAAACTGACTGACAGAGGAATAAGTCAATGGCTACCAGCTCCTGAGGAACTTGGGCAGCTCCCTTTCCTGCTGCTCAGCAAGAACGTCAATATTGTTTGTCTGCTGCATCATGTAAGAGGCTCTGTACAGATGTTCATGGACACCATCATCTTCCTCCTGAAGTGTTGCCTCTGTTGGTGGTCCTCCTATACGACTCTTCTTGCCTTCTCTCAAACATGGCACAGACCAAGCGACAGCTCACAACCACTGCCGCTCCCGACAAGCTCCCGTAAAGCAATCAGGGCAGTCTGCACTAAGGAGTTTTGTCTTGCCTTCTGCTGGACACTGAACACTATCTACAAAATAAGTTGCTCACAGCCTCTGAAGCCTTGATGCACATCCCAGCCCCGACAGTATGACCAAGCAAGGATGTGCACTGCTGTTTCCACAGCCAGCTGCTCGAGCTAGAAGATGAGTACAGTATTGCTGTAGCAGTGCTAAGGCACAAGGTGTAATCCGGCCTTGCAGCAACACTTTCCAATAAAGCTACTTCTGGCAGCTTAAAAAATAGAAGGTCAAACTTGCCAAGGAGCGTCCCCAAATAATCCTACAGTGCAATACAGTGTACAGCCTGCAGCCAGTTGAGTGTTCTGGAAGGGATTGCAAATCCCACCTGGGATACGGGCTGACATCATTGTGTTTCAGGCTTTGCTGCTCCTTGATATAACACCCCAAGCCCCTGTGGCACGCTGCAGTGCGGGCAGAACTATACGCTGGTACTGCCACCAAAATCAACACATGTACTCAGAAAACTCTTATTCCCCAGTAAT